CATTACCCATCATCAGGGTTCCGTGGCACCATTCCCCATCATCAGGGTTCCGTGGCACCATTACCCATCATCAGGTTCCGTGGCACCATCACCCATCATCAGGTTCCGTGGCACCATTCCCCATCATCAGGGTTCCGTGGCACCATTACCCATCATCAGGGTTCCGTGGCACCATTACCCATCATCGTTCCGTGGCACCATCAATCATCAGGGTTCCGTGTGGGCACCATTACTCATCATCAGGTCCCAAAAAGCACCATTACATCATCATCAGGGTCCTGCACCACTGCCCATCATCAGGTCTGCAGCACCATTACTCATCATCAGTTCTGCACCATTACTCATCATCAGGTCCTGCACCATTACTTCATCATCAGGGTTCTGCACCATTACCCATCATCATGTTCCGGCACCATTACCCATCAGGGTCTGTGGGCACCACGGCCCATCATCAGGAATTCTGTGTACCATTGCCCACCATCAGTCTCCAACCATTACTTCCATCATCAGGGTTCCATGGCACCATTACCCATCATCAGGTCTGTGTTAAATTCATTACCCATCATCAGGTTCCGTGGCACTATTACCCATCATCCGGGGTTCTGCGGCACCATTACCATCATCAGTAGTTCCGTACACCATTTCTCATCATCAGGGTCTGCACCACGCCCATGATCAGGTCTCCGTGGCACCATTACCCATCATCAGGTTCCGTAATGCTCATCAGGTTCCAAAGCACCACCCCCATCATCAGGTCTCCAAACATTACCCATCATCAGGGTTCTGTGCACCATTACCATCATCAGGCACCATCACCCATCATCAGGCCCCGCACCATTACCCATCGAAACGTGCACATTATTTCCATCATCAGGAGTCTCCAGTACTATCACCCATCATCAGGGTCTCCAGCACCATCATCAGAGTCCATCACTCCATCAGGTTCCATTCCCCATCAGGGTCCCACCATCACTCCATCATCAGGTCTGCACCAACCACTTAGGGTTCCTGTGGCACCATTCCCCCATCATCAGGTCCCACCATCATCACCAGTCTGTGGCATCACTCACCCATCATCAGTCTGTAAGCACCATCACCATCAGGTCTCCAAAGCAATCATTACTCATCATCAGGTCTGTGGCACCATTCTCATCATCAGGTTCCAAGGTTCATCTCATCATCTGGGTTCTGTGCACCATTACCCATCATCAGTCTGCACCATTATCATCATCAGGGTTCTATTACTTATCATCAGGCCCTGTGGCACCATTCCATCATCAGGTTCCAAAACCATCATCAGGTCTGGCACCATCTCATCATCAGGGTCCATCACCCATCATCAGGGTCCCGTGTGTCTACCCACTGTCAGTCCAACACCCATCATCAGTCTGCACCATTACCTATCACCAGTCCCCCATCATCAGGTCTGCAACGCACATCATCATCAGGGTTCCTGTGGCACCACTACCCATCATCAGGGTTCCGTGGCACCATCACCATCAACAGGGTTCCGTGGGCACCATTACCTATCATCAGGTCTCTCATCATCAGGTTCCGTAAAACATGCTCATCAAACGCGCACTATCACCCATCATCAGTTCCGGTACCTATTCCCATCATCAGGGTCTGCACCATCATCAGTCTCCATCATCAGGTCTGCCCATCATCAGGTCTCCACCATCACCATCAGGTCTTGGCACCATTGCCCATCATCAGGTCTTAAAACCATCACCATCATCAGGTTCCATATCCATTACCCATCATCAGGCTCTGCACCATTACTCATCATCAGGGTCTCCATCATCAGGTCTGTGGCACCATCACCATCACTGTGGTTCTGCACCATCACTCATCATCAGTTCAGGCACCATTCCTCATCATCAGGTTCCTGTGCACCATCATCAGGTTCCGGGGCACCACTACCTATCATAGGGTCATCCCATCAGGGTTCCACTGCCCATCATCAGGTCTGCACCATCATCAGGTTCCTGCAAGGCCATCATCACTGTGGTCCCGTGGCACCATCACCCATCATCAGGGTTCCACAAGCACCACCATCATCAGGGTTCCGTGGCACCATTACCCATCATCAGGTCTCAGACACTACGTCTATCACCGGTCTGGCACCATTACCCATCATCAGGCCCAGGCACTATCTCTATCATCAGGTTCCGGCACCATCACCCATCACTAGGTCTGGCACCATTCTCATCATCAGGCACCATTGCCCATCAGGTCTCTGTGGCACCATTACCATCAGGCTCCAGGCACATTACTCATCATCAGGTTCCGTGGCACCATTCATCAGGGTCCCATTCCCCATCAGGTTCCAAACCATCATCAGTCCAAAAATACTGCCCGTCAGGGTTCCCTGGGCACCATCACTCCATCATCAGGGTCCAAGGCACCATCACCCATCATCGAACCCAAGGCACCATCTCTGTCATCAGGTCTGCAACTCACTACCCATCATCAGGTCCTACACCAATACTCCATCATCAGGTTCTGCACCATCACCCATCATCAGTCCCGTGGCAACCCATCACCCATCATCAGGCACCATTATCTATCATCAGTTCTGCACCATCACCCACTGGTCAGGGTCTGCAAGGCACCGCCATCTATCATCAGGCTCTGTAAGCACCATCACCACCATCAGGGACCTGTGCTACCCATCATCAGGTCCCACCATCTCATCATCGGCACCACCATCATCAGTCTGCACCATTGCCCATCATCAGGGTCCTGCATAACCACCACCCCATCATCGGGTCCCAGCAACCACCCATCATCAGGTCTGCACCATTCCCCATCATCAGGGTCTGTGGCACCACTGCCCATCAAACAGGTCCGCATCATTACCCATCATCAGGTCCCGTGGCACCATCACCCATCATCAGGCCCCTGTGCACCATCATCATCATCAGGGCCCGCACCATTACCCATCATCAGGGTCTGCACCATTACCCATCATCATCAGGTTCCAAGTACCATTACCCATCATCAGGCTCCGGCACCATTACCCATCATCAGGTTCCGCAAGGCACTATTACCTATCATCAGGGTTCTGGCACTATCACCATCATCAGGTCTGCACCATCAGGTCATCAGGGTTCCACCACATCATCATCAGGGTTCCAGTACCATCACCATCATATCAGTCCCGGCACCATTTACTCCATCATCAGGTTCCGTGGCACCATCACCCATCATCAGGGTCTATGTTCATAACCCATCAGGGCCCTGCAACCATTACCCATCATCAGGGTTCCGGCACCATCACCCATCATCAGTTCCGTGGCACCATTACCATCATCAGGTGGCACCACCACCCATCATCAGGGTTCTGTGGCACATTACTCATCATCAGGTTCCGGCACCATTACCTATCATCAGGTCTGTGGCACTATTGGCTTCATCATCAGGCTCCATGGCACAGCCACCCATTCCATCATCAGGTCCCCATCAACGGTCCTCCATCATCAGGTTCCAACATCAGGGTCTGGCCACCCCATCAGGGTCTGTGCAACCATCACTGCAGTTCCCATCAGGGTTCCGGCACCATCAGGGTCTGCAAGCACCATCATCAGGGTTCCAGGCACCATTACCCATCATCAGGTCTCATACCATTGCTCATCATCGGTGGCACCATTGCCCATCATCAGGTCTGTAAGCACTACTGCCCATCATCATCAGGCTCCGCACCACCCCTATCATCAGGTCTCCGGCACCATGCTCATCATCAGGTCCCAAAACCACGTTCATCAACAGGGTCCCGTGGGCACCATTGCCCCATCAGTTCCAAGGCACATCATCAGGTCCTTCATCATCAGGGTCCTGTGGCACCATTACCCATCATCAGGTGGGTTCCGGCACCATCATCACGGTGTCTGGCAACGGCCATCATCAGTTCCCAGTAACGCTGCCTCATCATCAGGTTCCGGCACCATTGCTCATCATCATCAGGTCTCATACCATTACCCATCATCAGGGTTCCGTGGCACCATTACTCATCATCAGGTCTCCATGGCACCACCTATCATCAGGTTCCAGGTACCATTGCCCATCATCAGGAACTGCACCATTGCTCATCAGGTCTGCACGCACAAGTCTCATCAATAGGGTCTGTGGTACCATTGTCAGGGTCCCATTACCCATCATCAGGTCCCGGTACCATTGCCATCATCAGGTCCAACTGCCCATCATCAGGTCTAGGTAACCATTGCCCATCAGGTTCCACCATTACCATCATCGGGTCTGGCACCACGCTGCCCATCATCAGGTCTGCGGCACCATCGTCATCATCAGGTTCTGGTGGCACCATTGCTCATCATCGTGGCTCCGGCACCATTACCATCATCAGGTTCCAGGCACCATCACCCACCATCAGGTTCTGCGGCACCATTACCCATCATCAGGGTTCCGGCACCATCACCTATCAGGTTTCAGTACCACGTTTCATCATCAGTCTGCAAAAACATGTTTATCATTGTGCTCTAAAATAACTCCATCATCAGGTCAGGGTCTGGCCAACATCATATTCTGTGGCACCATTGCCCATCATCAGGTTCCATGCACCATCCCCCATCATCAGGTCTGCAACCATTGCCCATCATCAGGTCTGGCTGTCACCAGTTCCACACCATCAGGTTCCATGGCACCGTCACCATCATCAGGTCTGTACTGCCCATCATCAGGTCTGCAAGTACCATTGCCCAACAACAGGCTCAGTGGCACCATTGCCTATCATCAGTTCCGGCACCATTTCTATCATCATATTCCACGGCCCTATCAGGCTCCAAGACACGGCCCATCATCAGGGTTCTGTGGCACCATTGCCCATCATCAGGGTTCCATGGCACCATTACCCCTCATCATTTTTGTCATAATCATTCTTCATCCTCATTTTTAACTCAACATATACAGTACTGTAAGTCAAAACATTATTGCATCATGAGGTACAGAGTCACACCAGTTTAACAAGATAATGCACTTCTTACCGCGAGAGGGATGCCAGTGTCACTCTGCATGAGCATAATAATGGCATTGAAGTGGTGCTGACCAGGAACTGCTTTGTTGCGGAAGAATGTGAGGATCTTGACCACGAGGGATTCTTCCTTTATTAGTCCTGGCATTACTATCATGTCTCTGTGTGAGTCAGAAAATAACAACATGACAAAGTATAGGAACAATATACATATTTAATGGTGGATTTCCAATACCACTTGTGTGAAGGCTTGGTTATGTACAGTAGCTAAAACAACTATCTGTATCTGTGCAGATGGGGTCGATATGCTCTGAAATTTTTTGTGTGACTAGTGACAGCCTTCATTTTAGATCCTCGGGCAGGGTGAAACTATGGGCAAGTTTCTTTATACCATTTGCCTCTGTCTACCCAGCAGCAATTGGGAACCTGAATGTTAATCTATTTGCGGATAGTGTTCCGGGGTAATGGTTAGCCAGTGCAGTTGGCAAGTTGTCCGGTCTTTTCGGACTATTCATTGACACTGGGTCATGCAGCTCGTTAACTTAGGGTGTGGTTGTTGTGTTGGCGACAGCTTCTACACCTTAAACAAACTCACGCCAAGGTGGCCCTTGGGTCGGCCATCCTCGATTTCGAGGGGCTTCCATTATTATACCCAAATTTATCAGCCATGGTCTCACAAAGTATGCACAGATAGTTGTTTTAGCTACTGTACAGTAATCTGAAATTTTTGTAGCATATGAGTAGTCCAGTGCCAGAATTGGATAAATGCAATTTTTAAAATAGCAGGAAAATCACATACAAAGTTGCACCACAGTAAAATTGATACCATGTTACGACAAATTAACACATGAACATATTTTTGCAATATTTTATAGGAAATTGTGTGCACTTTCTTGGCAGAACATACCTTAATAAATGTTACAAAGAAAACATGTTTGGTTGGTCATAGCACTTATCACATTCTGTCATTACACTGTTCACATTAATGTACCTTATCAGTCCATAGATATTACTGAAATAATATTTATTAATACAGGTACAGTAATTAATTTATACAGGCATTGATAACTTAAAATGGTGTCTCAGATAACAGACAAGTGCTTCAATCTCTAGTCAAGTGAATTTTTCTGTAAGTATCCTTATTAGATTTAAATTATATCTGCCAGGAAACTTTTACTGTACATGTTGTAATTTTTGGTCGCATTTTTTGGTTTTCGATCAGCGCCCCCCCCCCAAACTTATTTTGCCTTATGATTAAATATTTTAATGCTTCATGGGGTGATTAGGTTAGCATTAGGGTGTTCAATCATCAGGTGAAATAAATTTGGGAACTAATTAATGTGCTTGTTTTTTTTTTCACTTTTACAACTCTTTCCCATTACCTAAATGCATCACGGTGGCCAAAATTAACCACACAAACAGTCTCATCTTCACCCGTTCACTCTAACTGTTGTACTGTGACATAACCCTATGGACCCACTAAGTACCAGGCACTCCTATCAGTCGTGCACTAACTAGCTACTGACTGTGATACATAACCTTAAGTATTTGTGATGGGAGAACCTGGTTGTGAGTGGTTTACATAGATGGCACAATAGTCACAGTGAAATACAAAGAGACAATCTGCATTTTCTCTTGATCCTGGCCACTTTATAAGATACTGTAGTGGGGAAAGACTTGAAAGACTGAAAAAAGTTGCAGTGTTCTTGCTTCTCAATAGTATTTTCCACTGTTATACTGTACCAGGATATGCAAAATACTGTACAGCATTTGAATTAATTCATGTCATTTGCAGTCGATCTAATTTTACATAGTTTTATTCAGTAACTAAATGATCTGGGTGTATTTTTCACTGCCCCCCTTTCTGAGTGCCTCAATCACCTTATGTCAAAATTACTACATTCCTGTCGTACAGTCATTGTATAGGAAGTGTGCAGTAACTCAGTTTGTTTTCAATTGTCTTTAACCTGAGTTTTAAAAGTCATCTTTGTCTCCAAGTACAATACAGTTGCTCCTCGACTTACAGCGGGGTTAGGGACCCAAATCCAGGTCGTAAGTTGAAATGGTCGTAAGTCGAAAATGCGAAGATAATACATAGAAAATCTAAGATGGGTGTCTCTTTTTCTTCTCAGCACCACAAAACTCTCACTCACCAGCAAGTGCAGCGTACTTAATATTGGTAGAACAAATACTGTCAATGTATACAGCCTTAACAACATCAACCTAGAAAGGTCGACTTGTGAAAGAGACTTAGGGGTACTTGTAAGCCCGGACCTACGGCCCAGAAAACAGTGCGTTAATGTTTGAAATAAGGCAAACAGTATTACGTTTTATATCTAGAAGTGTAAGTAATAAGAGTGCAGAGGTCTTATTGCAACTATATCTTGCGTTAGTCAGGCCGCACCTCGATTATGCGGTTCGGTTCTGGTGCCCTTATTATAGAATGGATATCAATTCACTGGAGTCGGTGCAGCGAAGAATGACGAAAATGATTCAAGGACTTAGAAACCTTCCATATCAAGATAGGTTAAAGAAGCTAAACTTGCATTCCCTAGAATGACGAAGTGTGCGGGGAGATGTGATAGAAGTATTTAAGTGGGTGAAAGGAATCAATAAAGGCGATATAGATAAAGTTCTTATAATATCCGAGGAGGATAGGACTCATAGCAATGGATTTAAGTTGGAAAAGTTTAGGTTTAGGAGGGAGATAGGAAGGAACTGGTTCACAAATAGGGTGGTGGACGAGTGGAACAAGCTTAGCAACTTTGTAGTAAGTGCTGGAATGCTGGAAAGTTTTAAAAGGAGGCTGGATAGATTCATGGATGATAGAAAGTGGTAGTAACTCTCGACAGGAGCTGCCATGCACAGGCCAAGCGGCCTATTGCAGACTCCTTATTTTCTTATGTTCTTATGTTCTAAGCTTGCCAGCCATTTTAAAGGGAATTACAAACGAAAATTTTGTCAGTACACAGTGCAATCACTAACGTCAGGACTCGAAAATAAGTAATTTGAAGAAAAAAATTGGTACGACTGGGGCAGTCGTATATCCGGGTGATCGAAAGTCGAGTAGGCCGTAAGTCGAGGAGTAGCTGTACTGTCCATAAAATGTACCGTCTTCTTTGTCTGGGACTTATTAAGGTCATTTACTGAGGATCCCTCTGGAGTAATATATTTGTTGTGTGTGTGTGGTCATGATTCATAATTAACCTGAGTTCAGGGTGATCTGTTATCTACCTGTGGTGTTGAAAGAGACCTGTGGTGTTGAGGGAGACCTGTGGTGTTGAAGGAGACCTGTGGTGTTGAGGGAGACCTGTGGTGTTGTGGGAGACCTATGGTGTTGAAGGAGACCTGTGGTGTTGAGGGAGACCTGTGGTGTTGAGGGAGACCTGTGGTGTTGAGGGAGACCTGTGGTGTTGAAGGAGACCTGTGGTGTTGAGGGAGACCTGTGGTGTTGAGGGAGACCTGTGGTGTTGAGGGATAACCTGAGTTGTTGAGGGAGACCTGTGGTGTTGAGGGAGACCTGTGGTGTTGAGGGAGACCTGTGGTGTTGAGGGAACAAGCTACACCTCTTCAAGGGAGTAACTTACCCCTGATGCTCGGGAATTTTGACCCAGGTACGGAGAGGCTGAACAGCTCCCTGTGGATGCCCAGAGCCCTGAGTGAAGGCCACCAGTGAACAACGCACAGCGGGCAGCAGCTGGTCCCAGGTCAACACTCTTGTTACGTCTTCATCACTTATGAACTTCACCCAGCCAGGGATAGACTGTGGTCCTTGAGAAGCTGCAGTTGTACTCATATCTGACTAATTTGTAAAAAGAAATGTTTTAAGATTTTTTTTTTTCAGGATACTGTTTACTGACATGTTAATCCTTTACTCAGGAGAGGGGATCATATAGTCCCAGCATATTGAAGTACATCACACTGTACAGTATTATTGTTTCCCCTGGCCAAGAAGGAAATACAGTGTAACTTAACATAAGCTGGTCTTAGGGGTGACAGCTAAAGCAAACACTTAATAGATGCAAGATTTTCCATGTCATTTATACTTCTTCTCTTGAGTACAGTACAGTACCTTTCCTTTGTCATCTTTTGTGTATACAGTTGATAATTACATACATATAAAACACCAGTAACAGATACTATTGCTATACAGTACAGTACAGTATAGTATAGTATTTTAACTCCAGTACCAATGATTTAGTGTTTAATATTCACTTAGTATATTCTCAACCTCCGACTGTATACTGCCAGATCTGGGGTCACTAAATCTAAGGGGATAACTTAACTCTAATCTTAATTTCTAAGGGTCGCTGCCACCAGACCCCCTCTGGACAGCATGTAGCTCGTTAGGTAGCGGGCAGAGTGAACTAGGCATTGGGTTAGGTTTTCCATTGATCAGATCGATAAGGGTAAAGAAGGGTGAAACCATAACATGTCTTCATTGATTTATTTCTTATAAAACACACTGGTAAAAAAAACATACATGAACTGGCCTTCCTCAGAAGAACAACGGAATTTTGGTTACCCAACTGGGCCCCAGACTCCTACATTACTGGCGGGTCATCCACCCACTTATTGCACAACAATCGGTGAACGCCGTATCTCGGTCGTTCCTTCTTACAATATCCCTTAACACATCAGACTGTTCCACTGGTGTGGCTTGTAGCACCGTCGGTTATCATACATAGTAGCACCATCGCAACACACCTGTTACACTCCATACCTGCAAGTATGTGACTCCTTGTGACTTTTAGGTCTACACAACGGGCCCCTCGTTCGCACACCGCCCTCGGTGGGTAAGGACGAGGGCTTGACCTAGAGACATACCAGCACTATTTCTACGCCTGGTATTATAGGTCGCTCCAAGTGACGACCGCAGTTTCTCACGGTCTCCTTAGTTGTGACTATTCATGTGGAGTGGTGCGCTGGGAATCCACCGGTTCATAGTGGACTGGTATAGTGGGGAGTAATTCCCCACCTGGTGTGGCGCTCCAGGAGACAATGGCGGCCGGGCGGCAAGATACCCCAACCACGTGGCACCTGTGTTGACGGCAGAACGGGAAAGACTAAGCAATAATGCCTGACGGGCGGTTATCCCATCCCTTAACACATCCCTATCACACTTATATATCCGGCAAAGCTTTAAACTGTAGTAACTGTTATTTATCAACCTTAATTGTAGGGCGGGATATAGCCCGCTAGGCACTGACCTGTGGTGACGGCAGAACGGGAAAGACTAAGGCCGGCTTCCCGCCGCTTCTCGTCACATAGGCCTACCGTTTCCAATCCTCAATTTACACTTTTGTTTCTTATGGTTCTCACCTGAACACTTTACGGTATATTGTCACTCATTTCTTATAAACACATATATTAATCCTAAATTACACACTAAGGTCAGGTCTTGGTTTGCTAGTGCTTGGTTAAATGCCTGGGATTTTAATATCAACGGGCATCTGAGGCGGGTACATGACGCGCCTTGAAACAAAAGCCGAATGATCATGGCGGGGGTGTATCAACTTCACTTAAAAACTGTAATGAGGGATCCTCCTCTCACACAGTGCACTATTTGAACACAGACATAAGGTTCTCTGATCACTGTACCTGTCGTGGGTATATGTCACGTGAGGCTACGAGGTGTATTAAATTCATACCGACGCATACACGATATTTCCTTTCCAGTATAGTTTCTAGATCACTGTCAACACCTCACATAGTTCTGATACATTTATCCCTTTTTCCCGATCATTGTTCTCATGTATTTTCATATGATATCTGTTGGAGTTAGGTTCGCTACACGCTCACAGACGTAAATAGTAGGACCTTCAAACCCTGCTCCACACTTAGTCTTACAGTACCCTAGTCCGGCTCAACTGGACTTTAACATTCATCTTATGCCTACCCTGAGTGATCCTTAATGCTATGAATACATACACTTGATATGATATAATTATACCTGGGTACAATACCACACATGGTCTAGGAACCTTGAGTAGGGGAGTTGTCCTTTCTCAATGTTTCCCGTTTTCTGGGGTTCTACAAGCGTTGTGCATTTGAATGTTATGTAGCGTAATATGAATTAGATGGGATTTTTAGGGATGACAATGATGTGCGCAGTACAACTGTACCTGTTGATAAGTTTTGGGTGAAAAAGTAAGTAAATGGTGGAGATTAAACATTGATGAAGGCTGTGATTATAACTCTTAAGACATATTATGATTTTCATCAATGTAATGAGATTTTTCTGACAGGTTAGTACCTTGTAGTCCTTAACCCTTTGTGTATAAGAACCCTTCTGTGCTGAATAAAATCGTCTGGCATTAACCAAGTGGGGGCAGCACTGAGAAAAACAAATCAAGTTTTGGGAATTAAAAAGCGAACCTTTGAATACATAGATAGGAAATTGTTCCTTCAACTGTATAAATCTCACGTACGTCCCAGTCTGGATTACTGTATACAGGCAGGGAAACCCTACCTCCAGAAAGACCTAACATCCCTAGAAAAGGTGCAACACAGAGCCACTACGATGATTCCTGAACTATGTCATCTAGATTATCCAAGTAGACTGAGAGCCTTAGAACTAACAACCCTTCAGACAAGGCACAATAGGGCAGATCTCACTGAAACATTCTAAATCCTGAAAGTGATGGAAAACGTGAACCCGGGACACATCTTTGTGATGGCCCGCACCACCAACACGAGAGGACATAACTACAAGCTCACCAAGTTATCATGCAGAACGAATGCAGTATAGTACAGTATGAAGAAAAACATTGTTTTTTCACACAGAGGCTGGTAGACCTATGACCTGGCCTACCAGCCCAAGCTGTGGAGTCAAGAACAGTTCTGGGCTTCACTATAGTCCTTGAAAAATTTATCAACAACAATGGAGGGATCCTACACTGGCCTCCTTCCCTCGGCATGACCACTATTGGGTGGCCTTTAGGTAAGTAAGGTAAAATAAAATATTAAAAGTGGCTTCCCCAAAGTGAAGGGGTTAAAGAAGAGTGTGATTATAACTCTTAAGCCATATGGTTCTCATCAAGATAAGACTTTCAGACAAGTTTGTAGTCATTAAGAGAAGGAGTTTTTTGACCTTGACAGTTATTCAATAGTAAAGATAGAACCAGCCCAGAATCCTGTCCTTTAAAGAACAAAGAAGAAACAGAAACACAGGCTGACAGGAATATATCAAGGAATGAATTTTTTTTACTTCTACAACTGAATGTCATTACACCTTAAGGATTTTTACTTTTCAATTACTGTACAATGTACTGTACCATGGTGTAGTATCACGCTTGCCTCTTACTACTGCATCCCAGGTTTGATCCCCTAAGCTGGATGTGAGAAAGGTGTTATCCAGAGTGACCCCCTACCAATCATGACAGGTTTACTCCAGGCACTCCAGTTTCCTCCTGTACTGTACTAACACTGGACATTGATTGTCGTAACAGACATATGAATAACAGAGAACAAAATTGCGCATACCGGTAACAGAACAGATGTGCTTAACAGGGACCAGACCAACCAGCTAATAAGCTGACAAGTAACAAAAAATATAAATGTTAATAAAAAATGTTTACTGAAGTTTTTAAGAAAGGGGTGACACCTGAAACATTTGGAGTGGACCCAACCTCAGCTGCTCAACAGAAACATACAGTACCTGCTGTAGAATCAAGTTTGTACTCCACAGAAACAGATTTTAGTTTTAGTAATAATCTACCAGCCAAACTTCAGGTTCTGAAATGTAAACTGAAAACAATGAGACTTTATAGCTCAATAGAATTTTACCCTGAAGAGAAACTATTACTGAATACAGTAGTAAGTCTGCCGGTACAGTACTGTCAACAGGGAGTAATAATTATAACCAACACAGCCTCTCCTCGTGTCACTCTGGCTCCCTTCACCAAAACAATCAAACTGTATATCTTCAGCAAACTAGATATTTGACTGTAATTTGTTTCAGTAACAGAGAAGGTTATCAAGTTACATGCACCCCACTCAATTTAGGAGGTGAGGCCTTACCACCAAAATAAGGATGTTTTATCTGGTGAGACTGGAGCAGTCAGATTGAAAGTCCTCTCGAGGGCTGAATCATCTCCATAAGAATTTTTGATGCCGGTGAAATTATTAATTACTATGAATAAGAAAAAAGTCATTGCAAATAGAGAACCTTGAGGAAGCCCAGAACTGATAGTAACAGTCAGAGACTACACTGTCCACACTAACAATGCACTGTGCAGTCAGAGAGAAGAGAAATTACTGTAAGGGTATAAGAAGGAAAGGCCATAGGAGAGGAAATTTTCATGTAAGGGTCAAGGACAATATAAGAATGGAGGAAACTGCAGTGGGCCTATTGGCCCTTACTGGGCAGTACCATTTATCCATCCAACATTATGTTTGAAGCTATCCAGCGTATTCACATTAATGATGATATTTGGCAACTTGTTCCACTCGTCCACTACTATATTTCCAAACCAATGTTTACCTATTTTGCGCCTCAATCTAAATTTCTCCAACTTAAAACCATTGTTACAAGTTCGCTCCTGGTTGGATAGTTTGAGTACCTTTGTAATGTCCCCTTTGTTTAGCCCCGACTTCCATTTATGCGCCTCTATCATGTCGCCCCTCACTCTACGTCTCTCGAGGGAGTGCAAATTAAGATGCTTTAACCTGTCTCTGTACTCAAGATTCCAAATGCCTGGGTTAGTCTTGTCATGCTCCTCAGATTTATTTCTAAGGATTCTATATCCATTCTATAATACGGTGACCAGAATTGAACTGCGTAATCCAAGTGGGATCTCA